CTACCCTCATACTTGCTCGATGGCAAGGGAGTCCCTGAGTGGTGCAAAAGTTTAACATACTAGGCTGCTGACTGAAAGGTTGGAGGTTCAAGTCCACCCAGAGGTGACTCAAAAGAAACGTCTGTAGATCTACTTCTGAAAAATCAGCCATTGAAAACCCTGTGGAGCAGAGTTCTATGCTGACACACATGGGGTCACTACGAGTAGGAATCGACTTGATGGCAACTGTTTCTTTATTGTAGCAAGGTGGCATAGGGGATGCCCCCCCCTTTTGTATTTTTAGGGAAATGTATTTTCAAACTTTTGCTGTTCTTGTTAGTGCCATCAAGTCGGTTCTGACTCATAGCGACGCTGTGTACAACAGAACAAAACACTGCCTGGTCCTGTGCCATCCTCACAATCATTGCTATGTTTGAGCCCATTTTTGCAGCCACTGTGTCAATCCATCTTGTTAAGGGTTTTCCTCTTTTTCTCTGACCCTGTACTTTACCAAGCATGATGTCATTCTCCAGGGACTAGTCCCTCCTGATAACATGTCCAAAGTATGTGAGACAAAGTCTTGCCATCCTTGCTTCCAAGGAGCATTCTGGCTGTATTTCTTCCAAGACAGATTTGTCTGTCCTTCTGGAATTCCACTGTATATTCAGTATTCTTCTCCAACACCATAATTCAAAGGCATCAGTTCTTCAGTCTTCCTTATTCATTGTCCAGGTTTTGCATGCATATGAGGCAATTGAAAACACCATGGCTTGGGTCAGGGGCACCTTAGTCCTCAAAGTGACTTCTTTGCTTTTTAATACTTTAAAGAGGTCTTTTGCAGCAGATTTGCCCAATGTAATCCATCGTTTGATTTCTTGACTGCTGCTTCTGTGGATGTTGATTGTGGATCCAAGTAAAATGAAATCCTTGACAGCTTCAATCTTTTCTCCGTTTATCATGATGTTGCTTATTGGTCCAGTTGTGAGGATTTTTGTTTTCTTTATGTTGGAATGTAATCCATACTGAAGGCTGGGGTCTTTGATCTTCAGAAGTAAGTGCTGCAAGTCCTCTTCACCTTCAGCAAGCTTTTAGGCATTTGTTATTACCCAAGCAACTCATATTTATTCTAAAAAATATTGTTGTTGTTGTGCTGTCAAATCGATTCCAACTCATAGCAACCTTATATGACAGAGTAGAACTGCCCCATAGGGTTTCCTAGACCAAAAACTTTATGGGAGCAGATCTCCCGGTCTTTTCTTCCATGGAGCTGCTGGTGGGTTCAAACGGCCAAGGACCTTTTGGTTAGCAGCTAAGCACTTAACAAGTGTGCCACCAGGACTCCTTAAATATATATATATATATATATATGTGTGTGTATATGTATATATATGTACATATATATATATGTATATATATGTATGTATATATAGCACAGTAATTAAGAGCTATGGCTGCTAACCAAAAGGTCGATGGTTCAAATCCACCAGCTGCTCCTTGGAAACCCTATGAGGCAGTTCTACTTGGTCTTATAGGGTCGCTATGAGTCGGAATCAACTCAATGACAATGGATTTATATATATATATACACACACGCATATATATACATATATATATACACCTATATTAGGAAACACAAATAAGCCAAAGGCGAAACAAAAGCCAAATCACTATTAATGTCATCACTCAGAGATAAGCCTTGCTCACTCATCTGGTACGTGTATAAAAAGCATTTATATTTTAAAAATGGGAATCACATTGTCCTTAAGGTATTGTAATCTGCTTTCTTCACTTAACCTATTGTGAAGTGGAAATTTTATAGCTGTGTAACTGTTGACATGGAAAGAAAAGTGTTTAGAATAGAAAATTCTTAAAACACCCAGTAAGAAGTTCCTGGGGTGGCCCACTTCTACTTGAGGTCGTGAGGTCTCTAAAGATCAGCTGAGAAACAGGACTGAACGGTTTCTGTCAAGGGGCCCAGGGATAAGGTGCATAAAGATTTGGCTGCAGCTATTCACAGAGGAGGGGTTGGATGAGATAAACTCAGGGAAGCCCTTCTGGCCCGGAACCCTGTGTCAGCTGCAGTCCCTGTCCCCGGTGATGTGGCCACCGTGTTTGCTGTGGCTAATTATTGAACACTCAGAGCTGGTACTCTCTTCCTTTCCCTCCCTATGCCTTCACTGACTCAGTTCCTGGCTGGAACTGGCCAAGGGGGCCTCCTCCTCACTCATTCCTCCAAAGCCACCGTCTTAGTTTGTTAGTGCTGCTATGACAGAAATACCACCAATGGGTGGCTTTAAAGAAAAGAACTTTATTTTCTCACAATTCAGGATCTAGAAGTCTGAATTCGGGGCACTGGCTGTAGGGAGAAGCCCTTTCTTGTCTATTTCAGCTTCTAATAGCGGCAATCCTTGTAGTTCTGTGCTGTGGACTCGTCTGCCTCCATCATCTTCAGATAGTGTCTGTCTTCCTCCTGTGCTGGCTTGCTTCTGTGCCTAATCTGCTCTTTTTATATCTCAAAAGTGATTAGGTTTAAGACATACCCTATACTGATACAGGAAGGAGCCCTGGTAGAGCAGTGGTTAAAGTGCTTGGCTGCTAATCAAAAGGTCAGTGGTTAGAATCCACAAGCCACTCTGTGGAAGAAAGATGTGGCAGTCTGCTTCCATAAAGATTTACAGCCTTGGATATTCTATGGGGCAGTTCTTCTGTGTTCTATAGGGTCACTATGATTCTTGCTATAAGTCAGGTTTTATATTGATATGGCCTCATTAACATACCAAGGAAAACCCTATTCCTAGATGGGATTACATCCACAGGTACAGGGGTTAGGATTCTAGCGCATACTTGGGGGGACACAATTCAATCTATAATAGCCACCTCCTCAACACAAGGACATTTGCAGGTTCGTAGCCCCAGATCCTGTCCTCCAAGAAGGCCAGGAGCCACCTCCAGGGAGGTCTAAGTGGGCCAGGCCAGAGCCATGCCCTTTACATGCTTTTTCTCCCAGCAGCACCCCATTTCACAGATGCGGAGACTGGCTCAGAGAAGTTAGGTGACTTTCCTAAAGCCGCACAGAAGCAGAGCTGGGATTCGAACCCAGGTCTCTCTGACCCTGAGCCCATGCTCCTGCCACCATAACACAAGGGCACAAACAAAGCCATGAAGAAAGTGACTCGGGCCACGTGAAAGGAAGGCAAGCATTGGGAGGGGGGAGCTCCAAAGAAGGGCAAATGGTGGGGGCTCCCCTGAGGAGCTAGTGTTTGGGTCTGGGTGAAGGGTGAGTAGGATCTCAGCAGGTCAGACAGTGAAGGAGGGAGTTTTAGGCAGAATGCACAGCGTCAGCAAGGGTGCAGTGGCGAACAGACCTTGGAAACATTTGGGGAAGGCTGGTGGGTCAGTCCTCAGGGAGTTTTTTCCAGAGAAGCCATTCCCTCAGGGGCCCTTCCAGGCACGTGGGGGTGCAGACACATGCCCATCCCAAAGAGGCGTGCTCCTTGGAGTCCAGTCTCGTTCCGTCTTGCTGCATCAGCACCCCGTGCCCTCGGATCCTGCCCTCCCTCACATATGACATACTCACATACTTTTCAAGGCCACAGCTTCTCTCCTCCCTCCCTTTCCCCTCTTCCCACCCACTGGGAACCTGGGAATCCTGGCTCTAATCTCAGCTCTGTTCTGGACACTCTGGGTGAACCTGGTGAATCCCTTTCCCTCTCAGGGCTTCGGTTTCTTCATGTGTGCGATTGGGGATGAGGGAAGCGTTGGACTACTTAGGTTCTAAAGTTTCTTCTTTTTCTAAACATCTGGTTCTGGCCCACCACCATCCAGGGAATTTCAGGCCTCTATGGTCCAGCTCCAGAAACCCTGGTAGCATAGTGGTTAAGTGCTACAGCTGCTAACCAAAAGATCGGCAGTTTGAATCCACCAGGCGCTCCTTGGAAACTCTATGGGGCAGTTCTACTCTGTCCTATAGAGTCTCTAGGAGTCGGAATCGACTCAACAGCAAAGGGTTTTTTTTGTATGGTCCAGCTCCACTGTGCCCGATTCCCCTCCCTACACCCTCTCCCCATCTGCCTCCATCCCTCCCTGCCAGTCCTCCCTGATCTTTCTTTTCATAGCTGTCTTATTATTTAATTCCATACGAGCCCAGGAAGGCAGGAGCAATTGTCCCCATTCTGCAGTTGAGCCCAACTTACTCAAGTCCACTGAGGAGTTCGTGGGGGAAGGGGGCCCACCCCCCAGCCACTGACCTTCCCTGGTCCCTGCTGACTTCTCTCAGGACACCCTGAGCCTGAGGAGTTTCCTGACTTTGAGACCCTGAGCTAGTCTGTTCCTATTGCCAGCCCAGACAGACCTGATGCGTACAGCCGAGTGACTACCTCTCTGAACTGCAGCCTGCACCAAGGGACAATTTATGGGCCAGTGGTTAAGAGCTATGGCTGCTAACCAAAAGGTTGGCAGTTCAAATCCACCAGCTGCTCGTTGGAAATCCTACAGGGCAGTTCTACTCTGTCCTGTAGGGTTGCTATGAGTCGGAATCAACTTGCTGGCAGTGGGTTTTAAAATTTTTTAAAGGTGTTTGTGAAGGAGTCCTTGTGGCATCGTGGTTAAGCACTCAGCTGCTAACAGAAAGATTGGCAGTTTGAGCCCACCGGCGCTCTGCAGGAGAAAGACGTGCAGTCTGCTTCCATAAAGATTACCGCTTTGTAAACCCTGCGGGGCAGTTCTGTTCTGTCCTATAGGGTTGCTATGAGTTGGAATCTACTTGATAGCAACGAGTTTGGTTTTGGAAGGTTTGTGAGCTCGGCAGCCTGGGGCTTAGAGGCTTCTCCCCTCGGTTTCTAGACTCCAGGGAACTCTGATTTGATTCTGTTTTCCAAAAAATTTTCCGCCTAGGTACAGCCTGAACAGCCAGCCTGAGGGCTGTTTCCCTCCTCCCCCTCACTCTGCAGGCCCTGCCAGAGGTTCCTCAGCTGTCCTGTCCATCCAGCAGTCTAACTCTCTCCTTCATGCTGCAATTGCAGATTTTTGCTGGTCTTCAGCTGCCTGGTGCTGTCCGTGCTGTCCACCATCCAGGAGCACCAGGAACTTGCCAATGAGTGTCTCCTCATCTTGGTGAGTGTTGGAAGCCCAGGCCTGAGGGAGACTGTGAGGTCCCATCTCTAGGCTGAGGGCTGAAGGTGGAGAACCATACCGTGGTTCAGACTGTGCCTTGCTGTTTTTGTGCCTTGAGCTGCTGGCTGCCTCTCTTGGGGCTTCATCCCCAACCTTAGAGCAGGTGTTGGGGGATCTCCTGCCTCTAGGTGAGGCTTATGATGGGCCCAGAGGAAAACAGATGAGTCAGCCCTTTCCCTTCTCAGGACAAAAATTGCAACCTCTACCCCTGGTGGGTTTTGTTCTGTTTTTTGTCTAAGCAGAAGAACTTCGGAGGGGAATGGCTGACAGACAGCCACTTCTTGTGTCACCTAGTCAGAGTTAGAGTCTAGGATGGCTGGGACGGGGAGGGGGGATGAGGAACAGAAAAATCCAGGCAACTCACAGGAGTTATGAAGGGGAGGGCAGACTTGCGCTTTCAGTCTCCTTGGAGGACATGGAAGGGGCCGGTTGCCCTTTCGGAATCCTCCCCAGGTCTATCCAGATGGTCTGAAGAGAGGTGGTCTGAGGCAGTCCTGGACCCCCAAACCCAGGGATTCCAGGTTGGGTTGGTGCTATGTCCTGCGCTCCTGTCCCTGAGAGTGGGAACCAGAACTCAGGCCTCTGGTCCCACAGGAGTTTGTGATGATCGTGGTGTTTGGTCTTGAGTACATCATCCGTGTCTGGTCCGCTGGATGCTGCTGCCGTTACCGAGGATGGCAGGGCCGCTTCCGCTTTGCCAGAAAACCCTTCTGTATCATCGGTAATAAGGGACACCCGCCCGCGCCTGACCCCTGACCCCAAGCCTCAGAGTCGACATTGACCCCATTCCTGAACCCTACCCTGGTTGCTGACCGACTCAACGGATGCTCTCACTCCCCCCAGGAATCCCCGACCCCAGGTCCGGACGCTGGGAGGGGTGGGGGGGTTGGCTCCCTGGCGCTGTCCGTGACCTCGCCATCCCCACCCTTGTAGACTTTATCGTGTTCGTGGCCTCGGTGGCCGTCATCGCCGCGGGCACCCAGGGCAACATCTTTGCCACGTCTGCGTTGCGCAGCATGCGCTTCCTGCAGATCCTGCGCATGGTGCGCATGGACCGCCGTGGCGGCACCTGGAAGCTGCTTGGCTCGGTGGTCTACGCGCACAGCAAGGTGAGGCTCGGAGGGGCCTGCGTGGCGCTGACCGACGGGGTCGGGAAAGCCTAGGGACAGGGCAGGGGGCAGTGTCAGAGGGGGCTATCTATGGGTGGGGCTGGAGGCTGGGGCTAACAGACGGGGCAAGGTGGGGGCCAAAGCTGGGCAGGGGACAGGGCCTGGCGGTGCCTGGAAGGGGAATCTAGGGAGCCAGCACCAGGGCAGGAGGTGGGACCTCAAGAGAGGTTTTGTATGGGACCAGACCGGGGCGGGGCCTGGGCGGGGCTTGTGAGTCAGGACCAGGCCAGAAGGCGGGGCCTAAGGGGTGGGGCTTGAGTGCCTCTCTTGGAAGCTTGTCAGTTGAGGGTCTAAGCGCACTCCAAATGGGTCTGAGGGTGGGGCTGGGGCTGGACTAGATATGGGACCAGGATCTCAACCTGAAAGTGGGGTTCTGGAGGCAGGGCTAGGTGTGGTCTTGGGGTGCGAGGCCTGAGGTTAGGAACAAGGATAGGGCTGGAGGTGTGCCCTAGGGTTTTGTGGGGGCCTGGCCTTTTTGAGAGGACTCCTGGTGGCACAGTCATTAAGCTCTCGGCTGCCAACCGAAGAGTCAGCAGTTGGAACCCACCAGCCTCTCCGCGGGAGAAAGATGTGGCAGTCTGCTTCCGTAAGATTTACAGCCTTGAAAACCCTAGGGGCAGTTCTACTCTGTCCTTTAGGGTCCCTATGAGTCGGAATCGACCTGATGGCAATGGGTTTGGTTTTTTGGTTGGCCTTTTTGAGAAGGCGGGGCAGGGTCGTCTTGAAGAGAACATCTGAAAAGAAAGGGGAGCAAAGCTGCAGCCTGGGAAGTCCTGGAAAAGTCCCCACCGGACTTTTATCCACCCCCACCCCCACCCCCACCCCAGAACATGCCCAGAGAGCACTCTGGGAGCCTCCCACCTCCCCTGTGGCCTGGGACTCTTTACTTCCTCCCTCAGGTGGGCCCCGCCCAGGCCTCCTCACGCCCCTCCCCTCAGCCCCTCTGTGGTCTCACCGGTTGTCCCCCAACCCCCACCCCGCAGGAGCTGATCACCGCCTGGTACATCGGGTTCCTGGTGCTCATATTTGCCTCTTTCCTGGTCTATCTGGCCGAGAAGGACGCCAACTCCGACTTCTCCTCTTACGCTGACTCCCTCTGGTGGGGCACGGTGCGTGAGGGTCTGTGCAGGGCTGCCCTTCTCCCGAGACCCTCCCGGGGAACTTACCGAAGCCTGCCCATTGTGACTCCCTGCTCAGGGTTGAGCAGGCCTGTCCCTGTCCTCTGCATAGGGCCTCCTGTGACTGGCCCCTGTGGATGACCCCGTGCTAGCCCCCCAGCATACCCCAGTGGACCTGCTTGTGCCCCCATCCAACCCTTCATGTCAAGTTCTTGTGACCCATACCCATTCCTCCAACCAGCACTGGGGGAATCTACCTATGCCCCTAACCAGTCCCCGTGACAACTCCTTGTGACCAACCCCTGTGGGTGACCCCTGTACCCCTTTGCCTGTGCCCCGAACAAGCTCCTGTGGGTGGCCCCTGTGACCACAGCTGTGGGTAATCCATTTGTGCCCTCAGATTACTCTGACGACCATTGGCTATGGTGACAAGACGCCGCACACGTGGCTGGGTAGGGTCCTGGCTGCCGGCTTTGCCTTACTGGGCATCTCCTTCTTCGCCCTGCCTGCGGTGAGTTCCCCTTTCTCTGTTCCTCTCCCCTGAGGACGGCCTAGCCTCTAGGAGGGGCCCCGGCGGTGGGGTCTGCTGAGTCCCTGGCCCATATTGGCAGGACAGCTCCTGGCCTCTCAGATGGGCAGGGACAGGGGTGTCCTGGAAACCTCTTGCTGCCCTGCATTCCGCCAACCGTGCCCTTCCCTCCAGGGCATCCTAGGCTCCGGATTTGCCTTGAAGGTCCAGGAGCAGCACCGGCAGAAGCATTTTGAGAAGCGGAGGATGCCAGCTGCCAACCTCATCCAGGTATAAGATGCCCAGTAGGCCCTGTGGGGGCAGGGCGGTGTACTTAAACTGGTGGGCCAACCCTGCATGCCTAGCTCTGTGCACTGGCCCATGTGTCCCAGCTTCATAACCATGACTCCACTTTGAAGCTCAGAGAGGAGATGTCATTTTTCTGGGGTCACACACCAAGTCGGGGGCATCCCAGCTGGGATGCTGATGGAGATTGTCAGAAACCTTTTCCTGAACTAAATACCTAGTTTAGGGCCAGCTAAGGCTATCTCATTGCTCATCTCCAGCCCCAATTCCACATGGCCCAGAGCAATTCAAGGCAGTGAACAGCGTGTGTGAAGGCCCTGTGGTGCATGTATGTTTGATGAACTTTAAGGAAGCCAGTGAGGCTGCAACAAAGCTCTAGGAGTGTATAGTAGAAGGGGTTGGGTAGGTGGGCAGGACCCAGACCTGGGGTCTATAGGGAGGAGTTTCACTTTTTTCTAAGAGCAATAGGAAACCACTGACAGGTAAGAAGTAGGGGAGTGGGTGACGTGATCAGATTTGTGTTTTGAAAAGAGGTGAATGGATTGGAGGGTGACCAAGGTGGATGGGGAAAACCAGGAAAGGAGGCTCTGGCAACAGTCTAGATGAGGTGGGGCTGCTGGGGTGGCTTGGGGTAACAGCAGAAGACATGGATATTTAGATAGTAAAATTAGTGACATGAGGAGTAAGGGAGAGGAAGGTGGCAGTGTGACTGATACTTCTGGCTTGTCTAACTGGATGGCTGTTTGTTCTACTCATTGGATGGGGATCAGATTTAGGCATGAAGAATATGAGTTTGGCTGGGGCATGTGGCATCTGAGGGGGCTTTGAGACCCTGAGTGGCGATGTTGAGGAGGCAGCTGGATGTACGGGTCTGCAGCTGAGAGGAGAGGACTGGGCTGGGCGGAGAAGGTTGGGAGTCACTGCATGTAGATGGTAATGAAGCCCTGGGCATGAATGAGCTTTGGGTTTTGGGGAGGGGCGTCGGGGAGGAGAAGAGAAGAGGGCTCAAATTGGGCTTTTGGGAACCCCAGTTTTAATGGCTGAGCCAATGAGGTTGAACTCAAGGAGACAGAAGGAGCAGCCAGAGAGGTGGGTGAGAGACCAGGAGCCTGTGGTCTCAGTTTCCCTCAATGTGATGAGGTGGTCTGACAGGGTGTGGGCTGAGTTTTTGTGACTCTGTGTCTCGGTCTTGGCTTCTTCTTAGTCAGGGGTGTGTGCAAGAGAAATCCCTGCAGGAAATGGTTCAGGGAACACTGTCACAGCCCACCTCTGCCTGACCCCAATCATGCCAACCCTCTGACCCCCAAATCCAGGCCTGACTCAACCCCTCTTTATCTTCCCTCCCCAGGGTGGAACCCCCCTCCTTGTCCCTACTATCTCCAGCTACCAGCCCAGTTTTTCCTTCTGGACATCCCCTAGGGCACAATGGCCACTGTCCCCTGGGAGCTGGCCTTTCAAGGGGCATTGCAGGAGCAGGCAGCTGGCACTGTCCATGCCGAGAGACAGCTGGTATTGTGGTGCCCATAATTAATGAGACAGCTTTTGCAGCTGCTCCCCAGCCCAAGCCAGGGGCCTAGGCAAGCAGGAGGTAAAAATATTCCTGTCCTGGGCGGGCCCCTGGTCAGTGAGGACCCAGTTCTGCTTTATTCTGGCAGCTTCCACAGCTCCCCACCCTCGCTGGCCACCAAACTGACAGGCCTTACCATGGCTGTGGGGAGAAGGATGGGTCCTCCTGCTGTCTGGCCCTCATCCCTCCTGCTGCAGAGGAAGACTTGTATGTCTGTGGATGCAGAGGGGCTGCTAGGTGATGCTCTTTCCTCCCCTTCTCAGCCCCCAGTGCTCCCTTGGACAGTGTAGGGCAGCTGGAAAAGATAGGATGGAGCTGTTATTAGTAATAATAATTCACTCAGCCAACATTCATTTGTCAAACATTCGCTAACACCTACTATTTGCCGGGTACTGTTCTTGGCACTGAGGATACAGTGGTGACCAAGACAGAGCTTACAGTCTAGGGGAAGAGAAAGACATTCATCAAATACACAATCAATAGATGCCTATTGACGGTGATAAGGGAGATAGCAGGAGTGTTTAACAGGGGAACCTGACATTAAGTGACTACTATGTGCCAGACCCTGAGCTTGCCATTTGTTATTCATTAGCCCGTTTAACCCTCACAACACCCTGTTAGGTAAGTAGTATTAGCTCCATTTTACAGATGAGGAGACTGAGGCTCTGAAGCTTTACTTGATTTGCTCATGCTGGTAAGGGGCAGAGCTGAGATTGGAAACCCACATCCGCCTGACAGCAATACCCCAGCTCTTAATCCCAGTGCTCTAGGGCCTCCGGCTCTGACACTGGTTTGCCTCGTCACCCTGAGGAAGTCACTTTTTTCTAGGCCTCAGTTTCTTCGGCTGGCCCTGCTGGTGGCTATGGAATTGCAACTGGTCTCTGGCTTTGAGTGCCCTCTACTGACCCAAGGACTGGGTTCTTTCAGGGGCACGGGGTTGAGAGGCCTCGCTGATGCTGTCTCCCCCTCCCCCTCCTCACCCCACCAGGCTGCATGGCGTCTGTACTCCACCGATAGGAGCCGGGCCTACCTGACAGCTACCTGGTACTATTATGACAGTATCCTCCCATCCTTCAGGTAGGGTCTGCTTGGGGATGGGAGTGGGTGGGTGGCTGGCGGTAATGCCCCTTGAGGACAAGTGCCCGGAACTTGGAGGATCATCTGGGTCTGGCTCTGCGAATCCAGTGTAACTCAGAGCCTAGAGTGTCCTCTCTCCCGCCCTGGTGTGCCCAAGGAAGGGGGTAGACACAAGACACAGGGTAAAGGATGAAGCCCTTCCCCACTGGCTGAGTCCCAGGCCCTGGAGTGCTGGAAGTCCACATGCTCACCCATGGGTGATGCTACCCAAGACAGTAGCACAGCCAGCTCATCTCCCCTTGGTCTTGAGTTGGGGCTACGTTAACCTTTACCAGCCTGGAGTATTGCAGCTGGACAGAGAAAGTGTGGTATGGGCAAGAATGTGTGTGCCAGAGTTGGGTGCAGGGGCCCACCGAGCAGCCCCGTGAGTGAATATGTATCCACTTTTACTGTGCCAGGCAGCAGGCTCAGGGCCCAGAAGTGGGCTCACCCCGCTGGCCCAGGCTGGGCTAAAACTGCATGGGGGGGTGGCTCTGCGCAGGAGATTATTAACAGTATCACCAAGGTGCATGTGGCCAGGTGCCTGGCTAGGGCCTTGGGCAGGAATGAGACCACAGAGCCTGCCTCAGTCCCACAGGCAGGCGGGCATCAAGTACCTGGCTGGACCAGGTTGCTGTGCTCAGCGCTTCTGTGGGCGCCTTTTTTGCCTCATTAGTTCTCCAGGAGCAGCTGTTGCGTGATCCCACTTGCCCCTACACCTGCTCTCCTTTGCCTCCCGGCCTCAGGGGCTGCCCAGGGGAGGAGCAGGAGAGAAGGGGCTGGGAAGGGGGGCTCCCAGCATCGCATTGGTTTCCCCTGCCCCAGTCTCTGTACTTGGCAGAGGCAAGTTCCCACCTCAAGACCACGATGGTGGTTAGACTAGGAGAAGCCTCCTGTTCCAGGAGTAGCCCTAAGGATACAAGGCCAGGCCTTGGGGAGTAGGGCAAGCAGGGGCTGGTTCTTTAGAATATGATGTGTGTGAGGGAGAAGGAAGGTTTAGGAATGGAGGTGGACTAGGTCCTCTGGTAGGAGGACAGAGCCTGGTCTGGAGATTCTGTGTCCATTGGACCCCCTGCTCCTGGACCTTGGTTTCTTCATCCATGTAATGGGAAGGTAGGCAGGGGCTCTAGAGAGGAGATTGTGGGAATGGGAATTGGCCTGGAGAGTTAGGAAGGAGCTACAGTCCCAAATCTACTCTCCAAGAACTCAGGCAGGGTTGAATGCTGCAGAGAAAGGAAGCTGGGCTGGCTGACCCCTCAAGCTTCCCTCCTTAGCCTCAGTTTCCCCCTAAAATCCAGTCAGAGGTTAAGGATTTCAGGGCTGCCACTAGCCTCTGGGCAAGCACAGTCCACACCGAGGCACTCACTTGGCCTGATGAGCGGAGAGTAAAGCTGCATTTAGGACCCCACTTGCTGCCTTGTGTGCGTGGGTGCCTTTGAGTTGTGCCCAACCTGCACAACTATACCTGGCAGCCCTGAGGATTTCCCAGGAACTGAGGGTACAAAAGGAGGAGGAAGACAAGTCTTCCCAACCCCCCACCCCGATCTGCTCTGGCCTGGGTGTTTTCTGAACACTCCTAGAGAGGCAGGGCCTGGCAGAACCTGAGGCCAGGAGCTCCATGCCCACTGGGGGAGGTGGGTAGTGCCAGGGCCCTGCCTGCCGCTGATGGCGCCCTCTCCTGCAGAGAGCTGGCCCTCTTGTTTGAGCACATGCAACGGGCCCGCAATGGGGGCCTACGGCCCCTAGAGGTGCGGCGGGCGCCGGTACCCGATGGAGCACCCTCCCGCTACCCGCCCGTTGCCACCTGCCACCGGCCGGGCAGCGCCTCCTTCTGCCCTGGGGAAAGGTAGGGGCCCTCTGGGGCCGCCACCTCCTCTTGCTTCTCCTCTTCCTCTTCCATTCTCTATTTCTCATCCTCTCTCAGACCTGTTTCCAGCCACTACGGGGGTATCTGGGCCTGTTCTGGGGAGTGCCAGGCCTCGTCAGGAGGCCTGGGTGGTTGGCATCAGATGGCCAGACAGGAACAGACTGAGGGCCTCTCTGGAGGGACCAGGCTGTCCTCACCTTTTTTTGTCATGTGGGCTTAAGGGTCTGAGTGGGAGAGATGTCCGCACCATCCTTGCCCATCACCCCCTCCATTCACGCCATTGTCCTCTTTCTTTCTCTATTTCCACGTCCCCCTCATTCTTCCATCCCTGCACCCCCATCCCTCCCGGGAAGCTGGAGAGAGGAGGAGGCCGCTGGCCACAGGTGCTTACGGCTCAGGTAATCGTGGGCACCATCCTGGGGTATGAGGGCAGGGAACCCCCTCCCCCAGCATGTTTCTCTAGAAGGGGTTTGAACATCCTGAACTTGCCTCTCGGGAATGAGACGCCAGCTGGAAAGAGAGCTCTGTGACTAAGAAGCGCTGTAGGACCTATGTAAACTCAACCAATGACTAATGCTCTTGTCTTGTGCAACCCTTGTCCACAGCTTTGCTCATTCCAGAGGGCCCTCCTGGGATTCTCCCATAATGCCTTTCTCCCTCACTGAGCTACACTTTGCCCCTCCCAACAGTCTCTTTCCTCTTGACCTGTCTCTCCTGGAGCTTTTGCATCTTGAAAGAAGAGCAAAGAAAGAACAATACTTACTCCACACAAACGTTCATAAACAGTGGAATTCCAGGCATATTTGGACAAGGGACGCCTGTTAACTCACAGTGTGGGAAAGTGGCTGCTCTTGTAGAGATTTAGCTTTGAGGTCAAGGGTTCAATCCTCCCACCATCCCTCCCCTCTCCCTTACCCATCTCTTTGTTTTGTCTCATCTTCACATATCTTCCCCGAACCAGCCAGGTAAGCACCTGGGCCTCGAGCCTCAGGTGTTACTCTGAGTCCCAGGCCCAGAGCAAGGGATGAGAGAACAGTTGAGCCACTCATTGATCAGAAGGAGGAGGTGCGGTAAAAGCTTGCCTCTGCCACTTGAAGCTGTGTGTCCTTGAGAAAGTCATCAAGCCACTCTTAACTTCTGTTCTGGACAGACAATCATTGATGTTTGGGCTGAGCAGGGTCTCTGGGTTCTCTAAACTTCTAGGTTGAGAAGATCTGGAGGATTGGGAAGAGGGAGTTTTGGTACTCCTGGGCCAGGGGCTGAACAGGAGGGAGATGGAGAAGGAGAGCCCCTCCAAGTCTGGGGCTGGAAGCAGGGAAGCATCACTGGCTAGGTCAGGCTGGGAGCTCCCTGGACCCTGGTGTGTCCATATTCTGATCTCTGTCACTACCTGAAGTCCCTTCACTGTTGTTGCCATCCCTGTCACACCAAGGTTTATAAGCAGAGACTCAAAAGGCATTCCAGCCACATTGCCCAGGGCCAGAGCCAGGAGGGCCCTCTGCAGCCTCCAGTTTGCTCTGGTCTCACCTTGCCTCAATAGGAAGGCACCTGTACCACCATCCAAAGCTGCTCTGGGTCCCCTGAGCCCTCTAAGGACCAGGAATAGATTAGTGCTGAGGGTTTGGCTGTTACTACCTCCCAGCCTTGTGTCCGTCTGCCCTGCAGTATCTGCGTGTCCAGGGCTCATGGACATGGTGATGAAGGCATCCCTTTTTCCCAGCGCCTCCAGGGGACTGCGCTGTGACTTCTAGGAGACCAGTAACCATCAGGTTCAGGCCAAATGGCAATATCCTTGATTTTGGCTGTCTGTGCCGCAGCCAAGACCCTCCTTCACACTTACACATGCCTGGTTGGCCATACCCCTGGTGGTGCTTGGGGATGGATCCCAGCTGAGCACGATCCCAGGAAGTAGAGCTACACAGGGCAGGACTTTCTGGGGGACGGTATTTTGGGGTTTTGAGATGAGGCACTAAGGGCATTGTTTCTCAAAGCATGGTCCACTGATCTCCTGCATCAGTATCACGTGGGGCATTTGTTCCAAATGCAGATACTTGGACCTCTCCCCAAGTCACAGCATCAGCATCCCTGGAGAAGAGGCACAGAATTCTGCAGATTTAACATGCTTCCCAGGAGATCCTTATGCAAAGTCAAGAACCTCTGCATCCTGGGGATGGGAGCTGGAGGATGAGTTGGGTGGGGGTCCTTCTCTCCTACCAGCCACAGGAGGCCGGCCCCATCCCGGCAGCTCCCCATGCTCTGCCCACCTGCTCCCTTCCCACTAACCTCTGTTCGTGTCTTGTTCTCAACTTTCCAGCCAGATGTTTAGTAATAAACGGAGTTTCTTTCGGATCCACGCCAGCTGGAGACCGAGGTACCCCCTCGCCTGCTCCTCCTGTCCCCACTCCTCCTTGCCCCGCCCAATTCAGGGGCTGGAGAGGGGGACAGAAGGGGCCAAGGACAAGGTGCATGTGCCTGCCGCCTGCCGTCTGCCTTGGGGCCCTGACGAGCCCTCCACTTTCCTGGGGGATGCCTCTGCCAAGCCTGGGGGCATGGCCCTGGCACCCAGTCTGCCAGGAGAGACGTGTGCAGGAGACTTGGGGAAGAGTCCTGGCTCTGCCGCTGACACCCTGTATGATCTTGGCTAAACTGCTTTTGTTCTCTGGACCTCAGTTTCCCCTCTGTGGAATGGGCAGATTGAACTAGAGGCACTCTGAGGGTCCTTCCCACTCTGACTTTTGCCAGGCCTTGGATTTAGCCTCCTGTCTCCCCAGTGCCCACCTTCCAGGAACCCAGTGGATGAGTGAAGGAACTGGGATTGGCATCTCTTTCGCTACCTCCCAAGCCCCAGCTCTTAGCTGCATCACCACTCCATTCCTTGGTACCTGCCCTGTGCCAGGCTCTGCTCTGTGCGCTAGGGACACAGTGATGAATAAAACATGGCCCCTGGAGAACTGCAAAGAGTAATTGCAATTCAATGTGATAAGTGCAACAAAAAGAGGAAGCAGAGGGGGCTATGGAGCCCCGGGCAGGCACTTCACCCAGAGGAGACCCTAACAGGAGTGGGCATTCGCGAGGGTGTTCCAGGCTGAGGAAGCAGCACATAGCTAGGAGATGAGAGAGCACGGCTAGGGGAGAAAGCAGGCAGCCCAGTTTGGTCAGATCTGAGAGGGGGGTTAGGAGGCGAGGATGGGGGTGTTGGCAGAGCTGGGTCATGAAGAACCCAAAAGCCCAACCAGTTACTGTGAGCTTCACCCTGGTGGCGCTGCCTGGAAGCCTGGACTCATGGAGTCCTGGGTTTCCCAAAGGTGCCTCTGGAGACTTGTGGGTTGGGAGGCTAGTGAGCAAGAGATGAGCTCATCCTTGCTTCAACCGAGAGGCAGTGTGTCTTAGAAACGTGGGTTCTGGGTCAGAACCTGGATTCAAATTTAGGCTGCACCACTTACTAGCCGTGTGATCTTGGGCAAGTCACATAATCCCTCTGTGCCTCAGTCTCCTCAGCTGTAGAATGCAGGTAATCATAGGATCTGCTTCTGCTAAAACGGAGCTCATAGGAAGTGCTATATAAATGTTAGCTTTATTCAGTTTGGTATGTTGGGCAGTTAAGATCTTACTTATTTTAAAAAAAAAGTTTGAAAACTATGGTTGTAGGAAATGGGAACATACTGAAGGGTCAAGCTGAGGTTAAGAAGATTTGCTCCTTTGGATGTTACTTTGCCTGTGGTGGGCATGGTGGACAGGAAGGGCAAGGCCAGGGCAGAGAGACCAATGTTGAGGCTGTTTTGTAGTCCTGAAGAGGGGGATTGTGTATAGCACCAGAAAAGTGGGCTGCCTTGGTTTCCCCCATGAGAGTGGCCTTAAGCAGGCGAATGATGAGTCCTTAAGGAAATTCCCTGTGGAAGTGAGTACCAGGGGTTGAGTCCAGCAGAGAAGTCAGAGGGCAGCCTGTGCCCAAGACTTGCCCTCCCCACAGGACAGCCCCAGTCAGGCCACCCCATCCCTACTCTCAGGCACTAACAGATAGCCCAGGGTTTCTCAGCTTCAGTACCATTGACATTTTGGCCAGGATAATTCTTTGTTGTGGGGGGCTGTCCTGTGTATTATAGGATGTTTAGCAGTATCCCTGGCCTCTACCCAGTAGATGCCAGGAGTGCCCCCAGCTATACCCATTGCCATCTAGTCGATTCCAACTCATAGTGACCCTATACGACAGAGTAGAACTGCCCCATAGGGTTTCCAAGGCTGTAATCTTTATGGAAGCAGACTGCCACATCTTTCTCCCGTAGAGTGGCTGGTGGGTTCGAACCTCTGACCTTTCGGTTAGCAGCTGAGCGTTTTAACCATTGTGACATCAGGGCTCCTTTCCCCAGCTATGAAAACCAAAAATGTCTCCAGATATTACCAAATGTCTCCTGGGGTCAAATTGTCCCCAATTGTGATACATTGCCCTAGACCCTATCCTGGTCATTTGTCTCTGAGAAAGTAGTGTCTATAAATTAGAGGACCTGGGTTCCAGTCCTTGCTCCACACCACAGTATCTCTGTGACCTTGGACAAGTTATTTCACCCCTGAGCCCCACTTTCCACATCTGTAAACTAGGGGTGATAAATGAAGTTTATCATGAAGTTGCGGGGAGGATTGAAAGTGCTAGGGTAGTCAGCACAGGACCTTGCACGTTCTGAGGAGCCTGGGACAGGAAGGAGCTCTTTCGGTGCCCACCGAGTGCCAGGTTTCTTTCCATTTTCTTTGGGCTTCTAGGCTCCAGAGAGGCTGCTGTGAGCCATTTTCTGGGCTCTGCTCAAGGAGCTGGAATCTAGGGACCCTCCTGGGAAAACAGTGCCTTCTTGCATTAAAGAGGAACCCAGGGTTTCTTGCTGGCTGGAAAGTTACAGAACCCCACAAACTAGGCCAGAAGTTCCCCTCAACCGTCACGGAATCAGAGCTGGAAAGGGACCTTTTAAGGCCTCTAGTGCAAACTCCAGACCCCTTCCCCACAAGTCCTGCTGAGAGCAAGCTCAGCCTTGCTTTCGCTCTCTTCTCTTCACAGGGAGGTCGCCCTTCCCCCGGAATACCTTTGGTGCTTGATGTGCTGGGTGTGGAGATGGGAGTTCCAGGCTCCAGTCCCCTTCCTTCCTCTCCCCCTTAGAGGAGTGGAGGACTAGGGGAGGGGGTGCATGGACCGGGAGGGGTTGGGGTGCTTGCCAGCATGAGGAGAGCCCACAGGAATGGCTCTGCAGAGGGAAGTTTGGGAGAGCCAACCTCAAACTTTGGAATTTTGGGGATGTATCAAGGGGATCCTGGGCCAGCGAGGAGCATGCTGGATTGTGGGAGCGGTCCCTGTTCTTCCCTTCTGATACCCTCAGGCCCCCAACCCTTAACCTATAACCTCTCCCCTCTGGGTGGAGGCCCCCAATCCTAAGGATGGCCCTACATCCGGGCTGCCTTCCCGAAGGTGCCCCTGGTTTCGAGATCTTCCTCACCTTGGCACCTTGGCTCTATACCCTCTACCCCATGCCCTGGGCATGGGGGACCCTAGCCCCCACCCAGCTCTGAAACCAGAGTCTGTCCCCTGCTCAACTTTGATCTGAAAGTCCCTAAGAATAGGTGATACAGTCTCCTCCAACCCCTGGCCTACTTCAGGCCTCCTCCGAGTCCGTCTGGTTCTATCTTGAGCCAGGGCCCCAGACTTTTGGGGTGGAGTGCCCTGAACCTGTCTTAATGGGGCCTTCCAGTGGCAAGCCACAGCAGGTGAGGCATTGGGGTAGCCACAGGGCATGGGATGGGGGTGTTTTCATGGGTCCTTCTCCAACAGTGATACTTGAACATCTTGGACACAGAGTTACTCCACCAGGTATTGGTTAACCAGGGCCTGTCCTGGGGAGCCTGAGGCCTCCCCTCACCTGTCTTCCTCCAAGTTTTGGGGATGTGTTGGAGAGCTGGGGTGCGGGAGGGGAAGTCGGAGAACACAAACATGCACACAGCCTTGCTACATGCTGTTGAGCTGGGACCTCAGTAGGCAGTGTAGGTGAGCAGACTTGGGATGGGGCAGAGCTCAGGCAGGGAGACCTCAGAGGAACAGGTTATCAAACAGAAGGCTTCTCTAGGAGGGCGGGCACCAGGCATGTCCTGGGCATCCCTGCAGGCCCAGAAGCTAGATCCACTGGGGCTGAGGCCCCTCCACAGGGCCATCACACTACACAGCCCCAGGGGCACCATTTGCACTGAAGTCTGTGTAATGGTGACCTCAGGAATTTTGCAGTGCTCTGCCTACTCAGTTATACCAGGTTGTAAGCCCTGACCTGACCAGCGTGGGATCAGAGAGCTCCGGCTGTGGAGAGAGGAGGGAAATATAAATTGACACGTTCATACATGACAACATATGTGCACACACTGGGGCCTGTACACCCACACTGTTACATGTTTACACATGCGCACACACTCACACCCTCAACTCCATACATCCCGTCCTTGTATACTGAGTGGTTGGGAGGCTGCCCCAGTGTGCATGGCCAGTCCAGCTTCTCCATTCCTCAGCAGCCTGTCTGTGCCCGAAAGGTTGCCACCTCCACCCTCCACTCACCCACCTGGGCCAGGCCCAGCTCCCCGCCCTCCTGTCTGTCTCTCTGGCTCCCTTCTTGGGTTTCTCTCACTCTTTCCACTCTGACATCTGTCCTGTGCACCCCTTATCTGTCTGGGCAATGAGGGGTGGGACGTGGGGATGGGGAGGGGATCTGCTCAGACTGACCCTGAATCAGCCACTTGTAGGAGTCAAGGCCCCCCTCACCACACCCTTGTCCCATCCCAGGATGTTTCCACTTGGTGGGGAATCAGAGCCCAATAGCTACCCCCAAGCCCTAAGTTGGATCTTTGTCCCCACTTACCCCTTACCCCCAGCTCCAGCTGACTTGACTCTCTCCCTCACCTGACCTACCCTGCCAGCAGCCGGATGGGCATCAAAGACCGCATCCGCATGAGCAGCTCCCAGCGGCGGACGGGCCCCTCCAAGCAGCACCTGGCACCTCCACCAATGCCCACCTCCCCGAGCAATGAGCAGGTGGGCGAGGCCACCAGCCCTACCAAGGTGCAGAAGAGCTGGAGCTTCAATGACCGCACCCGCTTCCGGGCCTCACTGAGACTCAAACCCCGTGCCTCTGCTGAGGGTGAGCCCCTGGGGGCCTGGGGTCTAGAACTTGCTGAGCGGAGCAGGGACAGGGACAGAGTCTATGCTAGGGGTGGAAATACTTGGTTCTAGTACCAGCTCTGCAACTGACTGGCCATTTATGATCCTCAGTCTTCTGGTCTGTAAAATGGACATCATAATACCTGCTTATCTGGGCTCCAGACTATTAAGAGAATCAAATGAAAATGTGGAGGTGGTATAAGAGCACAGGTATGCAGCCAGGCTGCCTGGGTTTGAATCCTGGCTCTGCCACTTATCTTGGGCAAGTAACTTAATCTCTCTGGGCCTCATTTTCCTCGTCTGTAAAATGGGGCAATAATAGTATCTATTTCATGGAATTGTTGTGAGGATTGAATGAGGTAGCCCATGGAAGGTGGACAGAAGTTTTGGGGATATAGTAAGTGCTCAACAAAAGCTAGCTGTATTAAAAATGTGCTTTGGAAGGAGTGAGAGTTGATACTTCTTGTGTCCTAACTGTACAGCCTCACACTGGATTATCTCATTTACTTCTCCAAACAACCCTGGGAAGTAGTTTCTGTTTTTAACCCCCATTTTACATGTGGAAGCTGAGATCTTCAGCTAGTAAATGGCCAAGCTGGGATCCTCAACCAGGTCTGTCCAACTCCAAAGCCTATGCTCTCTGCTATGCCCATTGCTACCTCTTCACCAGACCAGCCTGCAGACAGGAGTCTGTGAACCCGGTGGGGCTGCTTTTCAGCCAGCTAGGAGTTCCTGGGTGGCACAAATGGTTCAGTGCTCGGCTACTAGCTGAAAGGTTGGCAGTTCAAACCACCCAGAGATGCCTCAGAAGACAGGCCTGGTGATCTGCTTCTGAAAGGCCACAGTCTTGAAAACCTTATAGAGCAATTCGACTCTGCACGCATGGGATTGCCATGGGTTGGAATCGACTCCATGGCAACTAACAACAGAGAGTTCTAGCTTTGCCCCTGACTTGTACTGTGATTCAGGCAAAATACTGCCCTTTTCTGTGCCTCAGGGTCCTCCTCTACAAAAAAGACTCCTCCATCAGCTTTGCCAAGCTTCAGGCCCATAGGTGGGGAAAGGTGGGCGTGGGTGGACCAGGATGGAGATGGGTCTTGGAGGGAGGGTGCCCAGCCACATTGCCTCTGCCTGTGCTGTGTCAGCTCCCAAGATGCCATTCACTGGCTCAGAGAGCCCTTTGCTGGAAAGTTACAGAACCCTACAAACCAGTCTTTGGGAGGTGCTGACCCATGGGAGCCTGCACACAGCCCAGCCCAGGAAGCTGCTGGCCACCTGTCACTCCTGCCCCTGCCCCTGTCCCTGCGGGGTGAGAATAGCGTCACCCCTCTGTGCAGGGCAAGGCACTAGCCTCAGAGACACTGCTTCTCTGGGGAGATGGTGGAGAGGAAGGAGCGGGGGAGTGACTTGCTTTAAGGGCCTTCCCCAGTGGTGGAGCTGGGCATGGGAGCTCTGGGGCTTCCCTCCCCTCGGCTGCAGGATGAGACTGTACGCAGGAATGCGTGCAGAGGCCTCACGCCTCTTTTCTCTGGGCTCATTGTCCTGTATGGTGGGACCCGTGGGGCTTCCTCCAGGCCTGTGGATTTGCCCCAGGCCAGGGGTGCCCTAAAGCGGCACCCTCTCACGGGCCTCTAGGCAGATGTTTACTCTGACTGGCCACAGGGGTGGATGGGCATGCAGTGCACTGGGGTTTTCAGCCCGGGGTGGGGTAGTGGGGAGCAGCAGCCAGCGAGGCAGGAGCCTGGGTCTGCCTTGCTGTGTGGCCCCAAGAAGTTCTTGGGCCCTTTCTGGACTTCGGTCTCCCTATCGGCACTCCCTAACAGTGGGTCAGTATGTGGTGGTGGGGGTTGGGAGTGTCCCCTTCTGCTGCCACTGCTTGGGCCCCGCTGTCTTCCCAGAGGGCCCCTCAGAGGATGTGGCAGAGGAGAAGAGCTACCCGTGTGAGCTCACAGTGGACGACATCATGCCTGCCGTGAAGACGGTCATCCGCTCTGTCAGGTGAGACTGAGACCTGAGGTAAGCCCCCTCCCCACCTGTCTGCCACCACTGCTGCTCCCCATTTGGGGCCTGCCCTCATGGCCAGGCCTGGCCTAGCTCCTGGGCATGCCAGCTGCTGCCCGCCTGGCATCCTTGGCGGTGCTGGGCTGGCGGAGACCCTGGAGTGTGGGAGGGTGGGGAGGTGGCATATGGCTCCCAGCAGGGTTTGCTTGTACTCATGGTGGCTGGAGGCGGCAGGCCCGGGTGGGGCAGTGGGCACAGCTGCCCGTCACTGCTCCCTCTCCTCAGGCTCGCAGTGTCCCTGGTCACTGCCCTCTCTGCTTCTCTCCCCTTCCTCTGTCTCTCATTCTATGTCAGCCTGTCTTCTCCATTTCTCTCCCTCCCTAGCTGTGTATCAGCGGCCACCTGTCTTTCCCATGTCTTCGCCTTACGCTCTCTTTCCCTGCACCTCTGTGCCTCAGTCTCCTTCTCCCTTTGTCTCTGGGTCTCAAACTTTTTCTCTCTCTCCTTGGATGTCTTGGTCTCAGACTGTCTGTTTCCCCCAGGACTTCTTCTAGAGCAGTGCTTTTCAAACCACAGGTCACAACAGTTTGAACTCAACTTAGTGAAATCAATTTAGTGGGCCATGGTCAGCATTAAAAAAATAATAAAGAAATAGGATAGAATAGAAAATATCGGAGTGTATCTCTCATTGTGAGGAGAAATAACATTTATGAACCTTATATTTCAGTTGTGTATGTGTGTATGAAGGCGATTTGGTGGCGCAACGGTTAAGCACTCGGCTGCTAATCAAAAGGTTAGCAGTTCAAACCCACCCAGAAGCTCTGCAGGACAAAGACCTGGTGATCTGCTCCCATAAAGGTTACAATCTAGGAAACTCTATGGGAGTAGTTCTACTCTGTCACATGGGGTCACTATGAGTTGAAAATCAACTTGACAGCACCCAACAACAATGTGTGTGTGTGTGTGTGTGTGTGTGTACTGGTTTGTCATGTAAAATGTATTTCTTATACTGGGTCTTGGACAAAAACGTTTGAAAGCCTCTGCTCTGCTGGTTCTCCTCACATCAACAATTAAGGGGGCGGACCAGAGTCTGCTGAGTCCTTCAGCCACGGCCCAGTCGTGGGTCCAGCCCCCAGGCTCCTTGGCGTGGAGTTGTCTCCAGCCTGCAGCTCTAGCATCAGAGACCCTCTTAACCCCAAGGCCTTCCAGACTCAATTCATCTCTTTCCTGGCCAAACCTCCTGCCCACAAGCTTCTTCCCTTTGTGTTCCTTTTAAAACCGGAGTCAGCAGGACCGTCCCCCCACCCTCCAAAGGCCATCCTCCACTGAGTGACCAGCATCTGGAACATAGTGCCTGAGCTGCCATCTGACCCAGGTCAGCTCTCCTTGGCCATCCCACAGCCCCCTCAAACCCAGTATGCCCCAAACTTGCTTCTCCTCCCATGTCCCCATCTCAGGCAGTGGCACCACCACCCACCCTGTCACCCAAGCCAGATTCCTGGGAGTCATCCTAGGCTCGGGAGCCTGTCAGTCCCATCTCCTGTATTGCTATCCTGTATCTCTACCCCCACTGCCCTCATCCCTGCTTCTACCTCTGCCCCTCCAGGGCATTCTCCACACAGGCTGGCCAAGGTAAAGTACAGCGTACACCACATGCCCACCCTCCCTGCCACCCCCAACTTACTTCCCATTGCCCAGTCTCTGCCAGAGCTCTTCAGAGTACTCCTCCAGCCTCCTCAAGGCTAACCTCCTGCCCATTCTTCTTATACTGCCAAGTACATTAACCGTCTTCCATCACATCCCTGTTCCAAATACTCTGAACCAAACCTCACTCACACACCTTCAGGCCAGCTTGTGTCCAGAAAGCTTCCTTTCATCCCCCTCCTCTTGCTCTGGGACTGGAAAATACCACTCTCAAGGCTTGTCCTCTGACTTCTCCAGCTGAGACTCTCCCTTCACTAGGTCCCCAGCCCTCTTTCTCCATTCCTTGGCAAGGCCCTTGTTACCCCTTTTGTGTGTGTTCTGTCTGTCTCCCGTCTGTGAATGGTGCAAATGGTTAACACATATGATTCTTAACCGAAAGGCTGGAGGTTTGAATCTCCCCAGAGGCATGTTGGAAGAAAGGCCTGGTGATCTACTTCCAAAAAATCAGCCATTGAAACCCTATGGAGCACAGTTCTACTGTGACACACATGGGGTCCCCATGAGTTGGATTTGACTGTAGGGCAACTGGTTGGTGTGTGTGTGTGTGTGTGTGTCTCCCGACCCAGACCGGAGCTCCCTGAGGCCCAGGATTAGATCTGACTTTACTAAGGTGCCCAGGGTCCAGCAGAGAACTTTGATAACAAGTATTTGTGGACGGAAAGCAAATATCATCCCCCACCCCGCCCAAGCAATCACCATCATTTTCAGATGCCAGCCCTGTGTCCCACCCTGCAGAGAGAAACCAGACCTAGTCACTACTCTCCCAAGCTAATGGGACTATGATATGTAAACCAACCCCACTGCCATCAAGTCATTCCAACTTATAGTGACCCTATAGGACAAGAGTAGAACTGCCCCATAGGGTTTCCAGTGCGGCTGGTGGATTAGAACTGCCGGTTAGCAGCCGAATGCTTAACCACTATGCCACCAGGGCTGCACGGATATGTGTATATATATATATATATATATATATATATATATATATGTAAACAACCCGTTGCTGTCTACATAGCGACCCTGTAGGACAGAGTAGAACTGGCCCATAGGGTTTCCAAGGAACGCCTGGTAGATTCGAACTTTTGGTTAGCAGCCTTAGCTCTTAACCACTAGGCCACCAGGGCTCCACGGATATACAGGCACGTTAAAAAATACCAGTGGAGGCCTGGGGACAGGGTGGGTAGAGGAGGAAGCCTGGCCGACCCAGAAGAAGGCTGTTTGCGGTAGTCCCAGCATGAGGTGCCCTGGTGCTGGACAAAAGGGTAGCAAAGAGACGGAGAGGAGGCTGGGAAAGAATCCGCTGCTCAGCTTCCAAGAGATCCCCTTCCTCTGAGATCCCCTCCCCCAACAGGATCCTGAAGTTCCTGGTAGCCAAAAGGAAATTCAAGGAGACGCTGCGGCCGTACGACGTGAAGGACGTCATCGAGCAGTACTCGGCAGGGCACCTGGACATGCTGGGCCGGATCAAGAGCCTGCAGGCTCGGTTAGTGCACCGTCCCCGGCGGGAGAGGGGGCAGGGAGGCCGTGGCTCTAGCCTGAGCTCTAGGGAGTTCCTCCGCCGGCACCCAAACGGAGCCCCGAGCGCCCCCTAGGGGCCGCTGCGGGAGCTGGGGTTCCGGCCTGAGCACGGCCTCTGACTTGCAGCTGGTGGTTTAGGCAGCCAGATTCCTCATCTTTTCTGGAGTCTGAAGAACCACCCAATAGCAGGTCCTCTGTGGGAACCCTATTGACCTGCATGCCTCCAGAGACATCTTTAGAATGACTCTTTCCTGGTCCTAACATAAACCAAAACCACCAAACCCCTTGCCGTCGTCGATTACGACTCATAGAGACTCTACAGTACAGAATAGAACTGCCCCATAGGGTTTCCAAGGCTGTAATCTTTATGGAGCAGAGGGCCACATCTTTCTCCTGTGGAACGGCTGGTGGGTTCCAACCGCAGACCTTTAGGTTAGCAGCTGAGTGCTTAACCACTGCGCCACCAGGGCTCCTTTTGGTCCTAACATAATAGGCCTAAAATAATCACTGACCTCCCATTTCCCTAGGGGATAGGCAGATTGTCCTCACTGTTGCCCACCTTTTCTCTCAGCTGCTGCATTAAGGAAGAATCCTCACACCAAGACCCAATTCACCTGCAACTTACCCCTCTTCTCCTGGTCTGCCTTCTCGCTGCCCATTCATTCGTTTACTCACTTAAGAAATAGTCATTGCACATTAACTATGTGTCCAGCAGTGGAGATATGGTAGAAGGCAACACAGAGTCCCTGCCCTCATGCAACTTTCATTCTAGTGGAAAAACAGATAATAAATAAGTACACCTAGAATATGTCAGATGATGATAAATGCTAAGTAGGAAAATAAGAGTCAGGGAGTTGGGGGTTGAGATTTAAATAGGTGAGAAGGTGACATTTGAAGAGAAAATGGAAGGAAGTGAGGTAACAAGCCCTGCAGCTGTTTAGATAAAGCGTTTCCAGATAGAAGGAACAGCAAGTGCAAAGGCTTTGAGATGGGTGAGTGACTGGGCTGTTTTAGGAAAAGCATGGAGTTCATTGGGTGTGGACTGGAGTGAGAGGTAGGAGATGAGGTCAGAGGGCTAACTGCACTTAGACTGTGGCCACTGCAATGCCTCTGGTGTTCATCTGGGGTCAGATGCAATCACTGGAGGGCATTCAACAAAGGACTGATAAGATCTGAGTTATATTTTAAAAGGATCACTCTGGAGGGGGAGTTTTTGTATTGAGGCCACTGAGTGTATGTTAATGGTTATGGAATGATTAGGAAAAGGATAGCAAGAATAGTTGTACAACTTGAATGTAATCAGTGTTACTAAATCGTACATGTAGGAATTGTTGAGATGGTGTATATTTTGTTATGTATATTTTCTCTACAATTTTTTTAAAAAAAGGATCACTAGGTGCTGTGGTGCTTTGTTGAGAGTGAACTACAGTGGATCTAGGGTGAAAGCAGGGAGACCAGTGAGGAGGCTACTTCAGGCATCCAGGCAAGAGATGATGGGGGCTTGGACCAGGGTGGTAGCAGGAGGTGGGGAGAAGTGGTCAGATTCTGGATATATTTTGAAGGTAGAACTGACGAGGTTTTCTGATGGGGTATGAGAGATGACACCAACGTTTTTGGCTTGAGCAAGAGGAAGAATGGAGTTTCTGTTTATTAGCATGGGACGGCAATGAGCGGAGCAGGCTTTGGATCAGGAGAGTTGGGATGCACTGGGTTTGTGACACCTATTAGACAGCCAAGTGGAGTGTTGACCTGGCAGTTAGATATGTATAGGAGTGTGGAGTTCAGGGTAGAGGTCCAGGCTGGAGATAGAGCTGTGGGGTCACCCCTGTGTAGAGGTATTAAAACTCATGGAACTGAAGACATCATCTATCAAGGGAGAGTAAATAGAGAAAAGAGGTCCTAGGAGTGAGCCTTGGGTCCTGCAATGCTTAGAGGTTGTGGAGATAAAAGAGGAATCAGCAAAGGAGCCTGAGAAGGAGACAGCAGTGAGGTAGAAGGAGAACTAGGAGAGGGTGCTGTTTTGGAATCCAAATGAAGAAAGTGTTTGCAGGAGGAAGCCCTGCTAATAGGTCAAGTAAAACGAGGATTGAGAATTGATCGTTGGATTTAGCAACATGGAGGTCATTTGGGACCTTGACAACAGCAGTTTTAGTGAAATGGTGGGGGCCAAAGCCTGAATGGAGTACGTTTAATAGAGAAAGGGAGGAGACGAATTGGTGGTAGAGGAGAGAGAGCTCTTTCAAGAATTTTGCTGTAAAGGAGAGCAGAAAAAGAAGGTGGGACCAGCTCTGGCCTTGTCCACCGTAGAACTCACATTTCCACTTGTTTCTGCCCCTCCCCTCTTCTCTAGTACACCATTTCTCACCTCTCTTCCCATCAGGCTAGAACCTGCAATTGTTTTACTTTTCATGCTTGTGTGTGGCGCCTTTGTTTGGCCAGTTGGCAGAATCCCCTAAGCAGGGGCCGGGTCACCGCCCTCCCCTCCCCCGACTCCAACGCGGAGGAACCTCTGGACCTCCCTCCCCTCCCCCGCCCCCCGCCCCTCGGCCTTCAGAGGGCAGGACGATGGCCCCCTCCCTGACTGCCTCCTCCCACTCCTGGTGCAGGCTGTGTCTCTCCCTTCAGCAGACAACCTAGAGTTCTTCTAGGAGGGGAGAGGTGGCCTGTGTCTTCACTCTTTCCTCTGACGGCTCCCTTTCCTGACAGGGTGGACCAGATTGTGGGTCGGGGGTCCGGGGACCGGAAGAAGGGCGACAAGGGGCCCTCCGACACAGAGGCAGTGGATGAAATCAGCATGATGGGACGCGTGGTCAAGGTGGAGAAGCAGGCGAGTGTGGGATGGAGTTTCGCTGGGGTGGTGGAGCTGGTCGTTGACCGAGAAGCTCTGGAGGGCCGCGGGGACAAGAACAAGGGTGGGAGGTGGCGCTTATCAGAGCTGCAGCCCAGACTACCCGCCCGCCGGCGAGGCCAGAGCAGGGCCCACGCTCTCCAGCCCTGTGAACCCGCCCAAAGATAAGCCTCGCTCCCGGAAAGCCCACTCATTACCGCTAAACGGCCCGGATTAGCCAGCTCGCTCCTGCTAAGCCCCGCCCCTAGGTTGCTCCATTCGCAGGTAAACTCGCTACCAAACGACTCTTGAATCAGCCAAGTCCCGCCTACTCCATTTAACCCCGCCTCTTAGTTGTCTCCCGGACTATCCCAACCTACCACAACTAAAAATCGCCCCCGGAATAAACCCCTGCTTCCTAGCTTCGCCTTGTCCTCCGGCAAGCTCCGCTTTCCTGTCACGCCCCTCACCTGGCTGTGCCGCGTCGCCCCGCCTCGCCCAAGCCCCGCCTCCATCCAAGCCCCGCCCCAGTTAGGCCCCACCCAATCCCGCCTCTCGGCCCCGCCCCGCCCCCAGGTGGAGTCCATCGAGCACAAGCTGGACCTGCTGTTGGGCTTTTATTCGCGCTGCCTGCGCTCTGGCACCTCCACCAGCCTGGGCACAGTGCAAGTGCCGCTCTTCGACCCCGATATCACCTCCGACTACCACAGCCCTGTGGACCATGAGGACATCTCCGTCTCTGCGCAGACTCTCAGCATCTCCCGCTCGGTCAGCACCAACATGGACTGAGGGGCTTCTCAGGGGCGGGACAGCACACGGCCAGCCCCTCGGCCTCGCGCTCGGACCGCCTTCTGAGGCCTCAGGACTCCTCTAACGTGGATTCGCCTCCGTCGCGGGGAGAGAGGCCACACACGGTATTGAGCTGCCTGGGTGGGCGAGATATCCTCAGTGGGTGCCAGCGAGCCGCCCCCACCTCAGGAGCGCGAGATGCCAGGCCACACAGAGGGCAGCAGCAGCGGCTGCCCCGCGGCCGCCCCGCGGCCTCTGGGCCCCCCAGTGCCCTGCCCGCTCCATCAAGGCATGATCTGGCCTGCCTGGCAGGGGCAGTGCCCCAGGAGTGGGAACAGGGCGCTGGGGCCCTGGGCCCAGACCCAGCTTCCAGCTATGCAAGGTGGGGTCTCTAACCCGCCCTTCGGACAGAGCAGGGAAGCCCTCCCGCCAAGGCCCCGCCCCACTTGGGGGTGGGCCCAAGGTGCCCCCACAGGTACCCACAAAGCACAGGACCCTGCCACATGGCAGGTGGGCACCACATATGCAAACTATGTTAAATATGCAACTTCAGGGGCCCCCGTGGGGTCCCTCTGCCCCTCCCTTGTTGGGAGATGGGCCCCCAGCAGTAGCTGGTCTCAGGCTGCTTGGCCATGACCCCCATCTCCATTCTTTGGCTTATCATCCATCCCTACCCAGCATGGGGCCTGTTTCTCCTCTGCCCTCACCCAAAGGCAGTGCCTGGGTCTCTCTTGCCCTTTGCAGGTGTCACCTCCCAGGGGCTCCCTCTTCCTGCTGAATGTCCAGTCCCCTTTGGCTCTCTAGACACTTTTGACAGTCAGCACAAGTTTCTGTATTCTCTTCAAACCTCTCACAGAAGATGCTCCCACTGTCACACAAACATGTCGCGTTAGTTTTCCCAGATGCACAGAAAGTCTGTCGAACTCACAGTAACACACACAGTCGCACACGTTTGGAGACCTGAGCACACAGCCACACAGCCTTTCCTGGCCCTCTGCAGATGATGCCAGGGGACTGGCCCTGCCAGCAGGGGAAGCTCCCCACTCCATCTGGGAAGGAAGGGAGATCTGAAGGGACCCCAGGTTTCTGCAGGCCTCACCCCAGAGTGTAACCAGCTCCTCTTCCCCAAGATTACTCCTCACAGGTCCAGGAGCCCTAACTGCTGCCTCTGTCTGCCCCCAAGGGTCCTCCTTGGCATTCCCACAGCACAACTCAGGCCTAGGCATCTGCTGAGAGACCCCAGGCCCTTCCTTCCCCAAGGTGGCCCACTTTGATCCAGGTGCCACCCCTTCCTAGTCACTGTAACTCCCAGAGAGAATAATAATGCAAATAGCAGCTACTATTTGTCAGGCACCAACTGTGCACTTGGCACTCACATGCACTGTCTCGCCTCCTTCCATAACCCACGTCTTCACTTCAGTTGGCAGCCCCCATATTGGCATAAGCCCTCATCCACTCCAGGCCCCTAGCACCTCTGTTATCCCTACCCTTTGCCCCTCTTCTGCAAAGCCAATGTAGGTGGCAGGAGGGTAACGGGTAGTGGACTGACGGCAACCCTTTGTGGGGTGCCAGGGAACAAGGGGCTTAGGCCAAGCTGCCTGCATCTCATGACTGGGGACCTGCATGCACCAGCACCAGGGCTGGGGTTAGATCTTGCTCAGCCTCATGGTGCCCAGCCTCTGCCCCAACATGCCCTCTGCATGTGACCATCATGCTCTGGATGGAGCCTGTCCTGGCTCACCTCACTCGCACTGCACTGTCCCCAGAGAGCCACACATCTGCTCCCTCAGAAACAGAGCTGTGGAGAGGGGCAGGAGAATGGGAATACCCTACGACCAAAGGAAGCTTGGGAAGAAGCCCTCCCTCCTTCCGCAATCGAGGTTCCCCCACCAATGCGGTTCTCGGATATGCAAGTACCTCACTTTGTTAACTTATTAACTTATTGGTTTCATTAAAGTTTTCAGTAGGAGGTGGTTGGACTTGGCTCTGTTCAGTGGCTGTGGGGTGGGGTGCCTGGTCTGGGGCCGAGGACAAGGGAATTTGGATTAGTCAGGACTTTTTTGGTTGTAAGCAACAAAAGCCCAATGCAATACTGTACAGCTTAAGCAAAAACTGAAGCTTATTGGCCCAGATAACCAAAAAGTCCAGGGGATAGATTTGGCTTCATGCCCAGCTAGATCTGTTCTTTAAGCAGTGCAGGAGCCTGTCTCCTATCTCAGCCTTTCTTTCAGGAGGCTGATCCCACATGATGACCCCTGGCACTTCCAAATTTATTTTCTCTTGGATTAACACCCCAGTGAAGAGTGAGTACCACTGTCCTAATAGTTTGTATCAGTTGGGGCTCAGTCAGGACAACAGAAACTACACCAGGTTTTTCAACCAAGAGAGTTTACTATAGGGAATGGATTATACGGCTGTAGAAGGACTGAGACAACCAAAAGGGAACACTGAGATAATGTAGAGAAAACAACTGCAGGAAGCACGACTGCTGCTAGGGCTATGGGAATGAAAGGAAGAGTTTGGGGTTATTAGAACCTGCAAGCTTGGAGGGGAGCTCTATGGTGCTGGGCTCAGAGGTCTCAGGGAGGGGTGTTGTCTGGCTGGTGCTAGTAGCTCCTCTTGGAGGATACAATGAGGCTTGTCTGGGACTGCAGAAAAAAGCAGGAGGCTGGGATCAACTGCTGCTACCAAGGTGTTGCTGATAAGGCTAGCAAGCAAAGAAGGAAGTCTCCCTTCCTTCTGCCTTCTAATCTCCCCCTAACCAGTTGCCATAGAGGTGACTCCAACTCATGGTGACCCCATGTGTGTCAGAGTAAAACTGTGCTCCATAGGGTTTTCAATGGCTGATTTTTCAGACGTAGATCACCAGACCTTTCTTCTGAGGCACCTCCAGGTAGACTTGAACCTCTAACCTTTCAGTTCGCAGTTGAGCACATTAACCATTTGCACCACACAGGGGGACTCCAATCTCCCCCTAGGATCATCAGAAGTCGGCCAACAAGGGAGTAATGTGGTTTGCAGAGTCCCAGCCCCAGTATCACAGAGCAGAGTTATAGAGAGGTGGATTTGGAACTGAAAGATAATAGCTTAACAACTGGCACACTCCACCTCTTTGTATACTCAGTATCCACACACATCAATTCACACATATCTGAACCTCCATATAGTATCTTCCACCCAATAAGACGCGACTACACCAGTTAAGTGCTTGGCTGCTAACTGGTGGTTCAAACCCGGCCAGCCACTCCATGGGAGAAAGACTTGGTGATCTGCTCTCATAAAGATTACAGCCAAGAAAACCCTATGGGGCAGTTCTACTCTGTCACATGGTGTTACTATGAGTTGGAAACCAACTCAACAGCACCTAACAACAACAACAACAACAATCCTTCATACAAATGAAGACACTCTAACCCTCTTCCCCAAAAGAGGAAACACACAAAGTTCGCACAAAGTCCCACAGTCCAACAGATGTGTCTGTCTCCAGGAGTTAGTCATGGAAATCCATATTTGAGTGTGTTACTTACTCCTCTAAGTCAGTCACAATCCCACCTGCAACTAAACACTAAACTGTAAAGTTAGTTACCACAACCTTTATGTAAAATAATAAGGGTAAAGGAGGAAAACAAATTTACTTAATATGTAAACACACACGCACACCAGACGAGGAAGAAAAAGAGACACAACTGCAGCAGACCTCCTTTTGGTAACTGGTCACAGTGCCGTAGTTGATATATATAACCTCCTTAGTTCACTGCCCTTCTATGTTCCCTTTGCTTTCAGCTAGGACTTCAGCTGGTTAGGGTCTTTACATGGTGGAGTGACCCAAATCATCATTCCTAAAGGGTCTGAATTCTCAGTGGTCCTGCATGGTTCTGAGAGCTGCAGCTTTTCATTAACTTTTATATTGTACATGGAAGTACTAAAAGAGACCCAGAGAATCCCCTGAGGTCCAGACATAGTCCTCCTTGTCCTTGGTGTGTAGCACCAACCCAACTTCCCCTTGGTAATAAGATCAGTCCTGCAGCCAGGACATTAACTCTTTCTTCGCCTATTGGTTCAATGGCATGTTGTTGTTGTTAGGTGCTGTCGAGTCGGTTCTGACTCATAGCGACCCTATGTACCACGGAATGAAACACTGCCCAGTCCTGCGCCATCCTCACAGTCGTTGTTATGCTTGAGCCCATTGTTGCAGCCACTGTGTCAATCCATCTCCTTGGGAGTCTTCCTCTTTTTCACTGACCTTGTACTTTACCAAGCATGACGTCCTTCTCCAGGGACTGATCCCTCCTGACAACATGTCCAAAGTATGTAAGACATAGTCTTGCCATCCTTGCTTCTAAGGAGCATTCTGGTTGTACTTCTTCCGAGACAGATTTGTTCGTACTTTTGGCAGTCCATGGTTATTCAATATTCTTTGCCAGCACCACAATTCAAAGCCGTCAATTCTTCTTCAGTCGTCCTTATTCATTGTCCAGCTTTCACATGCATATGATGCAATTGAAAATACCATGGCTTGGGTCAGGCACACCTTAGTCTTCAAGGTGACATCTTTGCTTTTCAACATTTAAAGAGGTCTTTTGCAGCAGATTTGCCCAATGCAATGCATCTTCTGATTTCCTGACTGCTGCTTCAGTGGGCATTGATTGTGGATACAAGCAAAATGAAATCCCTGACAACTTCAATCTTTTCTCCATTTATCATGATGTTGCTTATTGGTCCAGTTGTGAGATTTTTGTTTTCTTTATGTTGAGGTGTAATCCATACTGACAGCTGTGGTCTTTGATCTTCATCAGTAAGTGCTTCAAGTCCTCCTCAATTTCAGGAAGCAAGGTTGTGTCATCTGCATAACGCTGGTTGTTAATGAGCCTTCCTCCAATCCTGATGCCCTGTTCTTCTTCATATAGTCCAGCTTCTTGGATTATTTGTTCAGCATACAGATTGAATAGGTATAGTGAAAGGATAAAACCCTGACGAACACCTTTCCTGACTTTAAACCACGCAGTATCTCCTTGTTCTGTTGGAACAACTGCCTCTTGATCCACGTACAGGTTCCTCATGAGCACAAAGTGTTCTGGAATTCCCATTCTTTGCAATGTTATCCATAATTTGTTATGGTCCACATAGTCGAATACTTTTCCATAGTCAAGAAAACACAAGGAAACATCCTTCTGATATTATCTGCTTTCAGCCAGGATCCATCCCACATCAGCAATGTTATCCCTGGTTCCACATCCTCTTCTGAATCCGGCTTGAATTTCTGGCAGTTCCCTGTTGATATACTGCCGCAGCCGCTTTTGAATGATCTTCAGGAAAATTTTACTTGCGTGTGATATTAACGATATTGTTCAATAATTTCTGCATTTGGTTGGTTCACCTTTCTTGGGAATAGGCATAAATATGGATCTCTTCCAGTCGGTTCGCCAGGTAGCTATCTTCCAAATTTCTCGGCATAGACGAGTGAGCACTTCCAGCACTGCATCCGTTTGTTGAAACATCTCAGTTGATATTCTGTCAATTCCTGGGGGCTTGTTTTTTGCCAGTGCCTTCAGTGCAGCTTGGACTTCTTCCTTCAGTACCTTCTACCTTCAGGTTTCTGATCATATGCGACCTCTTGAAATGGTTGAGCGTCGACCAATTCTTTTTTGTATAATGACTGTGTATTCCTTCCATCTTCTTTTGATGCTTCCTGCATTGTTTAATATTTTCCCCATAGAATCCTTCACTATTGCAACTCAAGGCTTGAATTTTTTCTTCAGTTCTTTCAGCTTGAGAAATGCTGAGCATGTTCTTCTCTTTTTGTTTTCTATCTCCAGCTCTGCGCACATGTTGTTATACTTTGTCTTCTCGAGGCGCCCTTTGAAATCTTCTTTTCAGTTCTTTTACTTCATCATTTCTTCCTTTTGCTTTAGCTACTCGATGTTCAACAGCAAGTTTCAGAGTCTCTTCTGACATCCATTTTGGTATTTTCTTCCTTTCCTGTCTTTTTAATGACCTCTTGCTTTCTTCATGTATGATGTCCTTGATGTCATTCCACAACTTGTCTGGTCTTCGGTCATTAGTGTTAAATGCATCAAATCTATTCTTCAGATGGTCTCTAAATTCAGGTGGGGTATACTCACAGTTGTACTTTGGCTCTTGTGGACTTGTTCTCATTTTCTTCAGTTTCAGCTTGAACTTGCATATGAGCAATTAATGGTCTGTTCCGCAGTCGGCCCCTGGCCTTGTTCTGACTGATGATACTGAGCTTTTCCATCGTCTCTTTCCACAGGTGTAGTCGATTTGATTCTTGTGTATTCCATCTGTCAAGGTCCATGTTTATAGTCACCGTTTATGTTGGTGAAAAAAGGTATTTGCAATGAAGAAGTTGTTGGTCTTGCAAAATTCTATCACGCGATCTCTGGCATCATTTCTATCACCAACGCCACATCTGCCAACTACCGATCCTTCTTCTTCGTTTCCAACTTCCACATTCCAATCATCAGTAATTATCAATGCATCCTGATTGCATGTTCAATCAAGTTCAGACTGCAGGAGCTGATAAAAATCTTCAATTTCTTCGTCTTTGGCCTTAGTGGTTGGTGCATAAATTTGAATAATAGTCGTATTAACTGGTCTTCCTTGTAGGGGTATGGATATTATCCTATTACTGATAGCATTGTACTTCAGGATGGACCTTGAAATGTTATTTTTGATGATGGATGCAGCGCCATTCCTCTTCAAGCTGTCATTCCCGGCATAGTAGACCATATGATTGTCCGATTCAAAACGGCCAATATCAGTCCATTTCAGCTCACTAATGCCTAGGATATCAATGTTTATGTGTTCCATTTCATTTTTGACGATTTCCAATTTTCCTACATTCGTACTTCGTACATTACATGTTCTGATTTTTAATGGATGTTTGCAGCTGTTTCTTCTCATTTTGAGTCGTGCCACATCAGCAGATGAAGGTCCCAAAAGCTTGAC